TAGAACGCACGTTGTTGCCCTTTTTTAGACCATGAAGCCAGCTCCTCCAGGTCGCCAGCAGCCTCTTGCGGAAGCCCACGTGCGGCCGCTGTCTTTATCCATGGTTGTTCTTCTACCTCTATGAGACTGCACCCATGAGCCTATTTTTTCACAAAGAAATGTGAGTTGTTCTACATTTGACTCCTATTAAATAGTGGTTTATACTGCACTTAGAGGCGCTTCTTTTCTTTTCTTCTTCATTCATACAGAGTTCTGCTACTACTACTATAGGAAGCTTGTCCTAGTGCCCTTTGGAGCTTTTTTGCAGCCCTAATTACTGGACTTTATGGACAATTCTTCAACTAATTTGAATGGTGGCAGTTTTTGCGCTGATTGTTCTTTTTTTCTTGCTTGTCTGAGAGATCCATTAGCCAGGTATGAGGACAGGAACAAGAGACAGAAGGTAGGATTTTGAGTCAAAACAAAGGCCAGGGCAGTTGAGGGCTTCACTCAAGGTCAAATCAATCGGAAGGTCAGAGAAGATGACCCGAAGGTCAAACTATACTCTACAAAGGGCAACCAGACTCAGAAGTATTTTACCCTTCGAAAAATAGTGCAGCCAATCATTAAACCCACTGACAATACACATGGAAAACATAAATAACTCTCCTTTAGGACCTTCAGACAAAAGCAACTTACAAAAGGGAAGCTGGGACATGGACTGGGATGTTTCGAGATTTAACCCGACTTCCTCACTGTTTAGGGAATTGGTTCACCAGGTAAGAGAGCTGTGATGGGAGTGACTTTTGGGGGAGGGGGGACCCCTGTATCATATTCCCAAATTCCTATGTTTAACCCACCCTGTGCCTGTTAAAGGGTACAGGGTGTGAATGTGAATGTCCATGTCTTAGTATTGTTTATTGGTGTTGGGATTGTTCGCTGCCATGTGGTTGTCCATTGTTCACTGCCATGTGCTACATCCCATTGTTCTGTGTCTTGGTTGGGTGGGGGGGTGTTTCCTGTAGCCCTTCCCACTGATGGGGCAGGCTGATGATGTGTTTCCTGCCCCTGGTTGTGTTTCCCCGCCCTGTGTATATATCTTGTGTTTGTGTAAAAATAAATGAGTTGACTTCCTGTTTTAAAAAGAGTCTGGTGCTGTCTATTTCCTGCATGATCAGCGGGTGGTTTCCGGGGATTTGTGGTCGGACAGGGAGGCTGCAGTCGAACGGAAATACCCAAATGTGGTCTGGGGTCCGGTTCCGTTACAAGAGCGTCTTTTTCTGGGTTGTTAACGATCATTATATGATGGCAGTCAAGGCAGAAACATCCATCTACTGGGAGGGGAGAGATACAGTATCTGAAGCTTACCATGTGAGGACCTTATGGGGTGCACCACCCTTGGTGGAAAAAGTAGATGGGCACCATGGAAGCTTCCACAGGCCATGTGAGCTTCAAGGAGGCATCTACAGAATCAGAATTGTAAGCAGAAATGGAAGAACATCATCCCTTAAAGTGTAACTTTATTGTTGTTAAAGTTGTGTGACTGATCTGGGGATGAAGATGCTGTGAATGATGTCTGCATGTCAGAAGTCTTTGGTGAAGTTCCTGAGGATTCCAATGTCTGAGCTTCCATTGTCTCTAGTGGAACTAATCGATGTCTGCGAACTTATTGCAGGTTGAGTAGGATGGAGAGCGGGGCAACAGGTGCACTGTGAAGAGGCCTCCTGGATAAAGGGAATGTCTCCCTACCTCTGGAGCTTGACATGTTGAATTAAAATTGCCGCACTATGTAGCTAAGCATCGAGGCCATGGCAATGTGTACTAACCCAAGCAACTGTTAGGTTCATTTAGAGGTAGGTGGTCAGGGAGCAGTTCACTCCCACTATTAGACACAACCCAGACATGCCCATTTCTCTCCTTGGCATGCATAACAGATCTTTTTTTTCAACTGCATGGTTGCACGGTGGCTGATAATTTGTTCTGCTGACTTTTTAAATGTGACCCAAGCCAATTACCAGTCAGGGCCTGGACTGAGCGAAGTATAAGGGAGGGCCAGCATGACTGGGGCGTGCAGACGAGGCAGAGAGTGTAATTTGGGTGGAGTATAGGCAAGGAAAAGGGGATGGGGGGTGGTTACTTACTTGATTGGTGTACGCAGCATTGTGGGTGGTCTTGCAGGTTTTGAATTGGGGGGTTGTGTCTTGTCGGAGTCAGTCGGAGCTTGTGCCATCACGGAGGTGGTTTCTCCCGCCCTCCCGCCCTGAAGTTGGTTTGTATTCTGTTTGTTGTGTTGGTTATAGTTTTGTCATTGTGTTTGTTCTGGTGTTGTTTTTGTTGTTTGGTGGTTGTTCGTGGTGTTTGTTTATGTGGGTTCATGGCGTTTGTTCAAGGTTCAGGATAGCTGTTGTGTCCTGAAGTGTTTGTTCGTTTGTCATGGCAGCTGGCAGGGGTCGATGGGTCTTTGAAGGCGGTGGTGGAGTGACAAGTTGAGGAATTATGGGTTGGGCCCATCGTAGGTATGGGTGTCCCTTCCCAATAAAAGGTCATATTGGTAATGTGGGAGTTCATTTGGCTGTATCTGGGTTAAGTAACAGTAGTATTGTCCCCGAGCGGGTGTAGTAGAGGCTGGGGGCCTTTCATTGAGTAATAGATACAGCCGAGTTGGTGATGGGAGTAATGGTGCCTTCAGAGACCTCGGACCCGGGTGGTAATGTACTAAGATATTATGTTGAGTTATGTTAAATAAATGGCTGCTATGGCCGGTTTTACACCAAAAAGTGAGTTGCGTGTTTATTTGGGGGGGAAGGTTTTTGAAGGGGTGGTGGTGTTTTAAAGGGGGTAGGTAAGTATTAGCCTCAGGATTCTGCAAGTCCAACAGTCATGATATGGGTACTGTCAGTGTTTACAGATTCTGTTGTCAGTAAATTGACCATGTTCTGTCAGTAAAAAAAAGGTTGCATGGGGTTGAGACAAAGATACCCCAGCTCCAGGAACCCTCCGAGAACTGTAGGATGAAACTTGTGGCACTCTCTGAGTGTGTGGTTTTCAAGGCTCCATCCTCGGCAGAGGTGTTAGGAGACCTGGCACCCCTGCCAGTACCTTGCATGGCCGCAGAAGTTCACATCAGCTCAAATTTGGTGCCAAACGGCCTTTATAAAGAAGCCCTGCACTACTCTCAGGTGCTGGTTGACCTCTGGCTCCCAAGTACCTTGTTCCTGTGCTACTGTGACCTGTAATTTCCTGTTACCAACTCGGCTTGCTCCTGGACCTGTCTTCTTTGCTTAAACCCTGACCTGACCTCGGCTTGGCTAACGGATATTCTCTCTCGCTCCTCTGTGTATGACCTCGACTATCCCATCTGACTACGTCTGCTCTGATGTCCACCCGGTACCAGACCTTGGCTTTGAACCGGCTATCCAGTAATCCTCAGTTCCCCGGAAAGGCTTGCATACCTCACACAGGCGCCACCTGTCTGCAGACCTATCTCCGTGCATCAGCCGTGCTCCTGGGTGGACCACCAACAAGCACTCCTACAGGCGACCTGTGCCACTTTGGGCCTGACTCCCGCTGTCCCACTCTCAGGGGAGTCTAGAACATAGCCACAAGGGAAGCCCTCTCTCCATTGGCCTCCATCACCAGGTACGTGACAGTTGTCCTGGGAGCTCTCAGTGAGGTGAGAAGGGTCTTATGTCTAAAAATTGTGTATGTGATGTTTCCCCTTAAGTTTCATGTGTAGCCCTTCCGGCTCAAAATTGAAGGTCTCCCACTGCCAACAAGATATGTAGGACAGCCTTTCTCAACCAGGGTGCCCAGGCACCCTGGGTTGCGTTGAGGTTTCATCAGGGGTGCCTTGGCAAAATGTCCAAAAATTGCCCAAAATTTGTAAACAAGCCAGCGATGGAACAAGCCCACCTTTTAGTTACGCAAAGACACAGGTTTTCATTGCGCAGTATTACGACCTTCCAACGTCGGCTTCCTGACAACTAATGACATCATCATTTGATAAGGACGAGGATGTCAGCTGCCTGCACAGCATCCTAGTTTGACCCTCCCCTGCCCTTCTCTATCAGTGCCAGGGTCACATAGTTTTTCACATTTTAGAATGTGGTTCCCTTTTAAAATTATGGACAGTCAGGAGGCACCCCATTTTAGAATGGGGTGCCTCGGGACTGTTCATAATTTTAAAGGGTGCCTCGGGACTGTCCACCATTTTAAAGGGTGCCTCGGGACTGTCCATCATTTTAAAGGGTGCCTCGGGACTGCGTCCATCATTTTAAAGGGTGCTTCGGGACTGTCCACCATTTTAAAGGGTGCCTCGGGACTCTCCATCATTTTAAAGGGTGCCTCGGGACTCTCCATCATTTTAAAAGGTTCCTCGGGACTGTCCATCATTTTAAAGGGTGCCTCGGGACTGTCCATCATTTGTAAAGGGTGCCTCGGGACTGTCCATCTTTGTAAAGGGTGCCTCGGGACTGTCCATCATTGTAAAGGGTGCCTCGGGACTGTCCATCATTTTAAAGGGTGCCTCGGGACTGTCCACCATTGTAAAGGGTGCCTCGGGACTGTCCACCATTTTAAAGGGTGCCTCGGGACTGTCCATCATTTTAAAGGGTGCCTCGGGACTGTCCATCATTGTAAAGGGTGCCTCGGGACTGTCCATCATTTTAAAGGGGGCCTCGGGACTGTCCATCATTGTAAAGGGTGCCTCGGGACTGTCCATCATTTAAAAGGTTCCTCGGGACTGTCCATCATTTTAAAGGGTGCCTCGGGACTGTCCATCATTTGTAAAGGGTGCCTCGGGACTGTCCATCATTTTAAAGGGTGCCTCGGGACTGTCCATCATTTTAAAGGGTGCCTCGGGACTGTCCATCATTTTAAAGGGTGCCTCGGGACTGTCCACCATTGTAAAGGGTGCCTCGGGACTGTCCACCATTGTAAAGGGTGCCTCGGGACTGTCCATCATTTTAAAGGGTGCCTCGGGACTGTCCATCATTTTAAAGGGTGCTTTGGGACTGTCCATCATTGTAAAGGGTGCCTCGGGACTGTCCATCATTTTAAAGGGTGCCTCGGGACTGTCCATCATTGTAAAGGGTGCCTCGGGACTGTCCATCATTTTAAAGGGTGCCTCGGGACTGTCCATCATTTTAAAGGGTGCCTCGGGACTGTCCATCATTTTAAAGGGTGCCTCGGGACTGTCCATCATTGTAAAGGGGGCCTCGGGACTGTCCATCATTGTAAAGGGGGCCTCGGGACTGTCCATCATTGTAAAGGGTGCCTCGGGACTGTCCATCATTTTAAAGGGTGCCTCGGGACTGTCCATCATTTTAAAGGGTGCCTCGGGACTGTCCATCATTTTAAAGGGTGCTTCGGGACTGTCCACCATTGTAAAGGGTGCCTCGGGACTGTCCACCATTCTAAAGGGTGCCTCGGGACTGTCCACCATTTTAAAGGGTGCCTCGGGACTGTCCACCATTGTAAAGGGTGCCTCGGGACTGTCCACCATTTTAAAGGGGGCCTCGGGACTGTCCACCATTGTAAAGGGTGCCTCGGGACTGTCCATCATTGTAAAGGGTGCCTCGGGACTGTCCATCATTTTAAAGGGTGCCTCGGGACTGTCCATCATTGTAAAGGGTGCCTCGGGACTGTCCATCATTTTAAAGGGGGCCTCGGGACTGTCCATCATTGTAAAGGGTGCCTCGGGACTGTCCATCATTTTAAAGGGTGCCTCGGGACTGTCCATCATTTTAAAAGGTTCCTCGGGACTGTCCATCATTTTAAAGGGTGCCTCGGGACTGTCCATCATTGTAAAGGGTGCCTCGGGACTGTCCATCATTGTAAAGGGGGCCTCGGGACTGTCCATCATTTTAAAGGGGGCCTCGGGACTGTCCATCATTTTAAAAGGTTCCTCGGGACTGTCCATCATTTTAAAGGGTGCCTCGGGACTGTCCATCATTGTAAAGGGTGCCTCGGGACTGTCCATCATTTTAAAGGGGGCCTCGGGACTGTCCATCATTGTAAAGGGGGCCTCGGGACTGTCCATCATTTTAAAGGGTGCCTCGGGACTGTCCATCATTTTAAAAGGTTCCTCGGGACTGTCCATCATTTTAAAGGGTGCCTCGGGACTGTCCATCATTTTAAAGGGTGCCTTGACTGAAAATAGGTCAAGAAACACTGATGTAGGAAATGGCAAAATGTTATGATAAAACAAGCCTACGTTGAGGATATGCTCATGTCTCCTCCTTCCATCCAATGAAATGAGTGGATTATGTCAGGTGTGCATTGGGGGAAGTACAGCAAAAGCTTTCAGAGAAAAAAAAATGGATATAAACTCTTTAGAAAGTATCCAAAGAAATTCATAGAAAGGTAAAACTGTGAGCTGAGAAGTTGCTCAGTGCAGCTCTATAAATTGGTAAACTGTCAGAATCCAAAAAAAACCAACAAAATATTGACTTCGATGTTGAAGTGATGAGTAAAAGTACAAGTGCTGATTTCGGCACTCTTTTTTTTATTTGGTTCTGTATTTATGGAAGGTCCTCATAACCTGTTCCTTCATCGTGGATTCACATCTTTCTGCACCTCTTTAGTTATTGTATATCATATATTGTATATATGCCCACTGTACAGTATACAGTTGCAAGAAAAAGTATGTGAACCCCTTGGGATTCTGTGGAGTTTTGCATGAATTGGGCATAAAATGTGCTCTGAACGTCATCTAAGTCACAACAATAGAAGAACACAGTCTGCTGAACATAATACTACACAAACATTAGATGTTGCCATGGTTTAATTGCACATAACATGTAAACATTCACAGTGCAGGGAGGAAAAAGTATGTGAACCTTTGGACTTAATAACTGGTTGACCCTCCTTTGGCAGCAATAACCTCAACCAACCGTTTCCTGTAGTTGCAGATCAGACCTGCACAACGATCTGGAGTCATTTTGGACCACTCCTCTTCACAAAACTGTTTCAGTGTAGCAATATTCTTGGGATGTCTGGTGTGAATCGCTCTCTTAAGGTCATGCCACAGCATTTCAATGGGGTTGAGGTCAGGACTCTGACTGGGCCACTCCAGAAGGCGTATTCTGTGCTGTTGCAGCCATTGTTTTGTTGAATGACTTGTATGCTTTGGGTCATTGTCCTGTTGCATCACCCATCCTCTGCGGAGCTTCAGTTGGCGGACAGATGGTCGTACGTTTTCCTGCAAAATGTCTTGATAAACTCTGGAATTCATTTTCCCATCAATGACAACAATCCGTCCAGGCCCTGAGGCAGCAAAGTAGCCCCAAACCATGATGCTCCCTCCGCCATGTTTCACAGTGGGGGTGAGGTTTTGATGTTGGTGTGCTGTGCCTTTTTTTCTCCACACATAGTGTTGTGTGTTCTTCCCAAACAACTCAATCTTGGTTTCATCTGTCCACAGTATATTCTGCCAGTAGTGCTGTGGAACATCCAGGTGCTCTTTTGCAAACTTCAAACGTGCTGCAATCTTCTTTTTGGACAGCAATGGCTTCCTCCGTGGTGTCCTCCCATGTACTCCATTCTTGTTTCATGTTTTCCTTATTGTAGATGTGTCAACAAAAATGTTAGCATGTGCCAGAGATTTCTGTAGGTCTTTAGCTGACACTCTGGGATTCTTCTTTACCTCATGCAGCATTCTGCGCTGTGCTCTTGCAGTCATTTTTACAGGACGACCACGCCTAGGGAGAGTAGCAACAGTGCTAAACTTTCTCCATTTGTAGACAGTCTGTCTTACCGTGGACACATGAACATCAAGGCTTTTGGAGATACTTTTGTAACCCTTTCCAGCTTCATGCAAGTCAACAATTCTTGATCGTAGGTCTTCTGAGAGCTCTTTTCTGCGAGGCATGGTTCACATCAGACAGTGCTTCTTGAAACCAGTAAACCCAAAACAGGTGTGTGTTTTTTTAAGGGCAGGACAGCTGTCAGCAACACATCCAATATCATCACACTGATTGGAGTCAAGGTTGGCTCACTCCTGGCTCCAATTAGCTCTGGGAGAAGTCATTAAGCTAGGGCCTCACATACTTTTTCCTCCCTGCACTGTGAATGTTTACATGTTATGTGCAATTAAACCATGGCAACATCTAATGTTTGTGTAGTATTATGTTCAGCAGACTGTGTTCTTCTATTGTTGTGACTTAGATGACGTTCAGAGCACATTTTATGCTCAATTCATGCAAAACTCCACATAATCCCAAGGGGTTCACATACTTTTTCTTGCAACTGTACTAAGATGGAAAGATGAAGGTGCCATGTCTTATATCTGCTCTTCATTGTGATGGGATCACTTCGACACGCACATGTCTAAGTACCGGACATCCTCCCACCACAATAGCAGCTCATTATACAGGTTCTCAGAGTCAGTGACCCAAAGTTGTGCATTACTGCACTACGCATACCAACGGGTGTTGGGTTATTACGAGGTACAAGCTTCTGTTCAATGGCCCTGTAGGAAGACCTGGTTGAACAGCTGTTGTCACCAAGCTGTCCGATGTCCCGTCCCGCTTCTTCTTGGAAAGAGACCCTACATACCTGTCTTTTGGATCCACTATCTTGGACACACTTCTCCCAGCCATAGGCCCACTCAAGACATCCCTAACCAGAGGTCCGTTAGTGAAAAAAAAAAAAAGTCCACTCTCAGATGCACTTTCAGCACTTTACTGCAATTAATACTTCTTCCATCAATACATTGACATACTGGAAGAATCCTTAGTGCAAAACAGCGTAGTGGAAACCTGCATCCTGCAGCAGTCTTTATCAGTGCAGAGCAGAAGTACATGGTTTCAACCATCTTTCCTCTTCTCAGAAGCACCACAAAGATGGGACAACTCCCCCAATAGTATGCTAGATTCCTGGGCCCAAGGCCTTCCTACACTGAGCCACTGACCTGCAGCTGAGGGTAAGGGGTGGCAAGGTCCCTTCGTTAGCTTGCTACTCCACAATGTCCTATTCTCAGTCCTGCCCAGCTGGACCCACTCTCAGATGTTGCGTTCTCCCAGGGTGTCCTTCCCCACACATGCTGGAGGACTTCTACATAGATTCAGAGGTCATCTGCACCAAGCTACAGATCCGCATAACAGGGTCGGGGGTAGACAATGGGACTCCATCTGTACCCCAAGTGCTCTGATTTCCTCTTCCTGGGAGACGAGCCCTGAAAAGGGCTCCTTGTTGCACCTTCAGCTCAGTTTTACATCTGCTTTTACCCTGCTTTTCCTGAGCCCCAACCACAGCTGGTATTATATGGGCACCAGCTCCACCCATGACATCACAACAGGAGGGCAAAATGTAAGGAGACACTAAGACTTGCCACTAATCCTGTGTTTTTGCTTGACCTTGTGGATGTTTTGGTTGTGGTTTACCACTTTCACACTTCCATCCTGGTCCTCCATCTAGTCAAGGTCTACACATTCCATGGTGATTAGATTAAGGTGTCGGTGCTACCAGTGTGGATAAATGTTAGGGTATCTATCTGGGATTAGAATTTAAGAAGTGGCTGGGAGAAGCTACAACCATTACAGAACATGTCCTGCTGAAAGTGACTACTGTTAGCTATACCAAGACCTGGATAAGTGAGAACCTTCAGACATTATAGTGTAGCACTACCCCCGCAGGAGCCACTGTAGATACACAGGTTCTCCCTTACTAGTACAGAGGCTGCCAGTTACCCAAGCACAGGTCCTCGCACACCGACAATTCAGGCTCAGTTTAGGGCAGCGGTCCTCAAACCCCCCGGCACCAGGGACAGGCCTCGTAGGCCTCATGGAAGACCACGTCTCCACGGGCTTCGGGGTGCAGCCCAATTGTTACCTGCTCACTAATATAGCCTCCATAGGTGTCTCCATTCAGCTGTGCCAACCTTCCTTCTAACTTCATTTCATATTGCAGTACTGCCTCTCTGAGCTGATTGGCTGTGTCAGGCTCCGCCCAACGGGATTTCTAGTGGTCCACAGAACGGGATTCCCCAGGATGCAGAGTCTAAGTCCCAGTCTGCCTTTTCACCAGAGCCCCTGATGGTGGGGATGGACTTGGTGCAAGACTGGAACCAGGTCGCGACCCCTGAGTGCACCAAACTATGGTAGAGGGGTCCCGCTGAGGGTATGTGCCCGGGATGAGCCTGCTGTGAAGGGGCTGACCGGTCCAGGTCCGAGCGGGATGGATGGATGACTGCCAGGAGTGAGCGTGGTCAGATTAGCCCGGTCGGTAACAGTGGGGACAGGAGCGGTACCAAGCAACAGACAAAGAGTAGTCAGGTCACACGCCGGGTTCAGTAACAGAGGGTCCAAATAATAGTAACGTCAGGCAGAGGAATGGTCAGGGACGAGCTGGGGGTCAGAACAGGAAAAGGTCAGCATAGATCAGAACAGGCAGGGTTGGCAACAAGGAACGCACTTACAGGAACAGGACCAAGACCTTGCGTCAATGAGGACATTGCCTGACCAGTTTAAATAGCGCGCCCTGCACCGTCATTAGTGCCAGGCGCGTGCCCGCGTGCCGAGTGCGCATGCGCAGCCGTAATTGCTGCCGCGGACGCCCAGGTCCCAGTGCCCGCATGCTGATGTGCCTGGGCGATCCGCGCATGCGCAGACTCGCGCACCGCGGCGAAGACCGGGATCCCTGACAGGCTGCTCTAGATCGACTGATCTGGCCTGCCGTGGTGGGTTTTGGGATTGGTAGTCTGGCGCAGGGGCTGGTCTCAGTCTTTTTTCAGGTTCTCGG